CTTGTGAAATCCACATTGATACCATTGGGCTGCAGGGTTCCCAAGCGGAATATGAGTTGCTGTTCCTGCAACCTTCGGGTGGCATCGTTGTGGCACTGCAGGAGGCCCAGGATGGACATGAAAGATTACAGCTTTGGTTAAATATGGATGAAAGAGCTGAACTCCACAGGTCAGGAGAGTATGACTGCCCTTAACGTCAAGGTCCTATTTGACCAAATGTGGCATTAAGAAGCCCTAACAGAATTGGAGTTAATGGGAATGAGGTGGAAAGCTAGCTGCTGGTTGAAATTATACCTAGCGCAAAGAAAGACAATTGCGGTTGTTGGAGATAAGTCATCTCAGCTCCATGAGTTCCTCAGAGTAGATGACAAGGCATAACCATCTTCAGCTGCTTCATCAATGACCTTCCCTCCATCATTAGTTCAGAAGTGGGGATGTTTACCGATGATGATACAATGTTGTGCAACATTCCCATGTCTTTACTGGCCCAGCCAGCAAAGCCCACATCCCAGAATGCATTGAAACAGAATTGCAACTCTCTCAGAGAGAATGCCAAGTCGATGATCTATCACAATCTTCTTCTAAGGTCCCCAACATCATAGCATCCAGTTATCAGCCAATTTAAATTTTCTGAAGAAGGGTCTAGGCCCGAAATGCCAGCTTTCCTGCTCCTTTGATACTGCTTGGCCTGCTGTGTTCATCCAGCTCTACACCTTGTTACCTTAAATCAATTCCCCTTTTGTTAAGAAACAACTGAAAACACTAGGCACAAAAAATATTTATGTGCCCTGATAACTTTGCAGCTGTAGTTTTGAAGACTTGTGCTCCAGGACTAACCACACATCTAGCCAAGAAAACAATGATAAGTACCTGACATTGTAAAAAACAATGACCTAGGACTAGGCCCGAAACGTCAGCTTTCCTGCTCCTCTGATGCTGCTTGGCCTGCTGTGTTCATCCAGCTCTACACCTTGTTATCTCAGATTCTCCAGCATCTGCAGTTCCTACTATCTCTGAAACAATGACCTAGGTATGTTCTGTACACAAAATGTAGGGCAAATACAATTCGGCAAATCACACCCATGGCACTGTGCCCCATAAGGTCAGTCTCAATCATCAGTGAACTGTTAAAAGATATAATTGACAATACTATTAAGTGGTGTTTGCACAGAAATGACCTGCACGCTTGCGCTCAGTTTGTCTTAAGGAGGCCTTATTCCAGACCTCATTCCAACCTCGATCCAAAATGGACAAAATGTCCTGAATCAAGAGGTGAGATGGAACTGACTGTCTTTGACATTACGCTGGCTTTTGACCAAATGTGGTTTCAAGGAACCAAGCAAAACTGATTAACAAGAATCAAGATAAACAGACCAGAGGCTGGTCGATCAGACATGCCACTGTGAAAGGTGACTGGCTTCATCCCTGCCTCCTTGACCTGTCCATCTTCTCTCCTCCTATCTGCTCCTCTATCCACCTTCTATCATCGCCTCCCCCTCTCTCAATTTATTTCAGAGCCCCCTTCCCCTCCCCCATTT